ACAGATATATATATACACATTAGATATATGCATATAGATAGATAGATAGATAGATAGATAGATAGATTTAGATATAAATAATATATATGTATATATATGTATATATATAGATAGATAGGTAGATAGATATATTCATATATACATTTATAATGTAAATATATACATATACTTACATATATATATACATATAAATACATATATATACTTGTACATGTGTGTGTGTGTGTGTGTGTGTGTGTGTGTGTGTGTGTGTGTGTGTGTGTGTGTGTGTGTGTGTGTGTGTGTGTGTGTGTGTGTGTGTGTGTGTGTGTGTGTGTGTGTGTGTGTGTGTGTGTGTGTGTGTGTGTTGTGTGTGTGTGTGTGTGTGTGTGGTGTGTGTGTGTGTGTGTTATATATATATATATATATATATATATTATATATATATATATATATATATATATATATGTATGTGTGTGTATATATATGTATATATATAAGTATATATATATATATATATATATATATATATATATATATATATATATATATATATATATATATATAATATATATATATATATATATACACACACTGCATATTTCATTTCTTTTGCATTCAAGCCATGATAAACTGCACTGAATACGAATACCAAGACGAGCGGGACATGTGTGCCCCGGATGGACCGCAGCCGGTATCGCTTTGCCGAAAAGAGTTCCTCAGATCAACTTCATTCAGAATCGGTAAGCCCTTTGTTATGTCTACAGTAGTAGCTTGATATTTCAAACCCTGGAGTAGGGTTCCCTTAAAGGGCTTATGTGAAGTAATTATCGTGCATTGTTTTTGTTGTTGTTGTTGTTGTTTTTCCTTGAATATTGGTCAGTAATGTATGCTTAGTCTATTCATGCAAAAAAAGAAAAAAAAATTCAAGAGACCCTCTGGTACCCTAAAAAAAAAAATCCCATAGCAACGCCCTTAGAAACGAAGATGCAAAACATCGGCGGTCTTCGGCCACCCCGGGAGTGACGTCATTCCCAGAACCAGGGAGAACCACAACACAATAATGCACCGCGAGTCAAGAATATCACGGAATTGTCCCAATTTCAAGCTATAAACATTATATATATATATATATATATATATATATATATATATATATATATAGATAGATAGATAGATAGATAGATAGATAGATAGATAGATAGATAGATAGATAGATAGATAGATATATATATAGATATAGATATAGATATAGATATACATTTTCTCAAGTATGCAAAATAAGCAAAACCAGAAAAATCTATCATAGAAATTTTAATGTCAGTTTATTTCGCCCTCTGTCTACGTCTGTCTATGTGTATCTCTCATTGTGTGTGTGTGTGTGGATAGAGAAATGTGTCCCTCTCCTTTACCTTTCCATTCACTTTTCTTGGTTCATTAAAATAATCTGCATTTGACACATTTTGTTTTCCATCCCTGACATCTCTTGGCACAACTTCCACGACATCCACAGCGTCGGCCCATGCATGTACGGTCAAACAACCATCAACCGTTGATATTCCTCTTCTTCCAACTCTTCGAAGACGTAGGCACCCTCAGAAAAACTTGTACCAATGTCCGCGTCGGAATAATCTGATAAAACTTCACTGATTTCACTGCCGGTGTAGTCTTGTAGCAAGTCCGCCATGCACTATGTATTAAATGCAGAGAATGCTGTGATCGTGTTCTGGAATTGACGTCACACGTCCGTGTTCCGAGATTTTCGTGGGCAAAATGTAACTTGGCCGGAAAATCGAAATGAACCAATGAATTCTCAATTTTGGGGAATTTATATTTTCAGATTTCCTTTTTTCCTGATATTAGAGAGATAGTTTGCGAGCTAATTTTTCCCTATTTAAAATTTTCAGTCAATACTTCACATAAGCCCTTTGAGGAGTCTCCTATATCTGTTTGGACTGATGAAAAATATGACAAAATAAAGACATTTACCTAATAATTTTCGGTGAAAATCTGTCTGCCTTAGCTACGGCCCTGTGTATCCTTGGGATAGCATTGTGAGTGTTAAGGAAAATTATGCTTTTTGGTGGGGGCTCCATGAGCTATCATTGCATTCCCAATCAGACTGTTAAAATAGCGGATATTATTACATCTGGCTTTCTTTATCATTCCACTCTAATTACAGGAGAGAGATGATGAGTCTTCACCTTGGTATAACTGCCTGCATATGTAACAGTAATAAAGGATTGCATAAAATACCTCTAATACTTTTGCACATTTGCTCTGGTAAGCTTGTCTGTATAAATGTAACTGGTATTATAGATAAGAATGGAATTTTGAGACATGGACATGCTCATTACTTTGGTTACTTTGATGCAGTCTCTTTGGTCTGATTATAAGCAGAATTTAATGAAATCTTGAATAAATGAAGTAAGTGTATCTTATACTTTTATTCCCATCCTACCTGTATGTACTCAATTGATCTAACTACAGAAAAAAACAACTGATCATGCAGACAGTAAGTAGCACATGAAATAAGCAATGAAACGAACAGTGGGATAGCCTATCATTTTGCCAGCATGAATTTATTCTTGGTATTTCAAGGCTTGTATCTTCCAGTACTTCTGAGTTTTTTTTTCTTTCTTTCTTTCTTTCTCCTCTTTCAAGTAATGATTTTCTAATTCCTTTCTACACACGTAGGCACTGACAAGCACCAAATAATTTTATTTTATCAGCCTACAAGGAACAATTCCAGGTCTTTCTTGTTAAATATATTAACTTAGTTCAAGAGGTCTTGGTCAAATGATTAGAATCATTTTTGCTGATTTTGTTTTACTAGCGTAATGATCCTTTATCCTTTCAATTGCATCTTAATTACACTTTTGCCATCATGAAATGATATGTAACAATATATCAGTTAAAATAAACATAATATACTCTGAAATTGTATTTTCAAAAGGGGCAGGGGGTGAATTCAGTGTTTTTTCTCTCTTTTGGTAGTGTTACCACAGACCAAGAGCCAACACAAATTTGATTACTTTATCATTTTCTCAAATCCTTATATAACATCATGATGTTTGAATTTCTTCTGAGGAAAAAAAAAACAATAAAGGTTAATAAACTAACCGCCAAGAATGACAAACAAATTATATACTTGTAAAAAAATTATTGTACAATAAAGTTTTTTTCACAAAATGCAGTAATATAAAGATCTCTTTCAATCACTTGTCCTTTCATGAAATAGAAAATCAAATCAAAGCTATCTAGACAAAACACCAAAATCTTATTCTCATCTCACTTTCCACTGAAATATTCTTGTTCCTCTTATACTGACATAATCTTGACTAAACAGTCATCAGTGGTAAAAATGTTTGAAGTATCTACAAAAACATTGTCTAAACATTATCAATTTTCCAGAAAAGGATCCTGCGATCAGATCCAACTGCCAGGTATGGTAAATTCTGGTGCCAACTAATGCCTCCAACAACCTAAAAAAGAGAAACAATCTTAATTAATAAAATTGTTTGGGATAACCATGTCAAAACATAGATTTCGCCTACATATAATTTTATCAGAAAAGAGCTATTTTTGCAAGCTTTTGCATTCACTTTTTTATGTCTTAATCTGACATGATATCACAATTTCATACCTTGAGATGAGCTGCAATTGGAACTTTGTTGGAGTGCAGATGAGTCACCCTAACAGTGTGTGGTGCAGCATGTGTAGCCACTAAACCTGTTACAGACCTACATACTGCCACATTTAAGACTTTCTCTCCACCTCCTACTTCTACATGCTCACTGCGGGGCCTGGATGACAAAAGAAGCAAATGAATAAAATAAAGAAAATTAATACCATATATAATGACTATTGTTTTTTTTTTATCTTTAAAAATTCCTTCACAATTGTGTGCATTTAAACATTGTGTCATATATCTAAAGTGTACTATCTAATATTTCTGGTTTTGGGGTTCATATTGTGTCCAAGGTATCACAAAGGTCTATAAAACAAATTCAAATTCAGTTATTCCATTTAAAAAGAGCATTTTTTGTATTTATTCACATATATAGATATGTATATTCGTTCTTTAAACTCCTATTCATCCATCTATTTTCATTCATTACTAAATGTTTTACATATTCATTCATTAACACACCCACCTGCCAAATGTTTAAACATTAATGTTTTAAACAAATAAATGTGCTAGACATCACAGGTCATACAGCACTATGGTAAAGTACTGTGATGAAAGGGGTAAAGTTTCTTAAGTTTCAATGGTCATATGGTATTGTACGATAGTATGTTAGTGAGAGGCATAGAAAGAGGGGTAGTAATGGAGTAGGATATTTGTTGATAAATAAGTTGTCAAAGGAAAAGGTAGGAGGTTCTGAGAGGATGTCTGATATTGGGGGGTCAGGGAAGTGAGAATAAGTGAGGAAAAGCAGAGATAGGAGGCGAGTGTGTCCAATGTGAAAGTGGACAAGAGCAGTTTCCCATCGTCTGTTCTTATTGGTTGTTATTGACCAAGGAGAGATGGAAGGTTTAATGTTAAGTAGTTTATTAGTGGTAAGGCCAAACCAGAATGACTGCTAGCGGGAGAAGTGGAAGGTTTTGAAGTGAGGGTAGTAATCTGAGGCTGGTGTATGTGAAAATTTGGGATGATGGGATATGAGCAAAGCACCTGAGTGTGCTAGTATGGCAGCCTGTTCATTGCCAATGTTGCTGGGTATCCAGCAAAAACTGACAGTTTTGTGTTTTATGGTTAGATGGAATAATTGGTCCTGAATCTTGTGTACAAGAGGGTTGCCTAGTTGTAGAGATTGTATAAGAGATAATGAGTTTTTAGTCAGTGAAAACTGTGAAGGATGGGGAAGTATGGGAAGACATGCATTCTAATATGAAGAGGATTGCATACAATGCAGTTATAAGGATGCTGGATTCAGAAGGAAGTAGAAAGTTGAAAGTACAAGAGGGAAAGATTATAGTAAAACCAGCACTTGTCTGGCCTCTTGTAAGGCTAAGTTTGTACCTGAGCACTGTCACCTCAGATTCAAATTTGAAGGCAAGGCAACTTTTATAACATACATTATGTGGGCCACTACAATTGGCACAAGTACATAATTGTGCAGGGCAATTCAAATGGTAATGATCAGGCTGGCCACATAGAGGGCAACAAGCTGTGGAGCGACAGTGCTTTGCCAAAAGCCCAACATTTTTGACATTAACAGGGAGGAGGCAGTTATGGTCTGACATGGCAAGATTCTCCACCAATATAGACCTTATGGGGAGAGTCATGTCTATGGAAGGTAATATTGGCAATACTGACGTGAGACTTGCGGCAGCCTATATGAGGAATAGTGTAGTACTGTATTGATACTACCTCAGAGTCAGTGAGGCAGGCAAGTCTGACAGGGTAAGCATCTGAGGAGAGGGAAAGAGTTCCAGTACAAGTATTAAAGGAGGAGTGGGGCTGAGCAGGAATAGGTGTACCTGTGAGGTCAATGAGGGTAGTCAGTGATTGGGCTTGGAAACTTTGCACATTTTTTTTTGGAGACCTTGAAGATAAAGTAGGGTATTGTTAGAGTACAAAAAATTGATACCACTTGTCTGGTCCAAACAGAGTAATCAAAAAGGTTGTAGAGGTGGGAGTTGTAGAAGGGCGATGGCAGGAGGAAGAGGGAGTGGTGTGAGTGATGTAGTGTTGTGATGGGGAGGGCAATAAGGTTGAAGAGTCGTAATAAGGGAAGAGGATGTAGGAAATGAAGGCGGTTGTGCAGGATGTGGTCAAGGATCTTTGGATAAAGGGAGGAGTCTTTTTTTTGAGGTTGAGTTACGGGTTAAGTTGATAACAAGAGTTGATGAGGGGGGTGTAATAGCAGTGGTTAGAGCCATGATCAAAGGAGAGTCAGGAGTCAGTAAACCAGTTATATTTAGGGGTTATTTGATAAAGGGGCAAGCCTCAATGCCCTTAATAAGGGTACAAAATCTTCTTTACTGGTCATGGTAAGCCCTCAGGGTCCCCATGAGTGGTAAGGGATAGACTATTAATCTCATGTCTCCCTGAGGCCATTCATGACTAGCACAAAGTCAGATTTTCATCCTTTCAACAAGGTTCTCACACCTTAGGAATTGGACCAGGGAAGGAATTAGAGAAAATAAGGAAAAGGAAAGGAGGAAAGAAGACCATGCAAAAGTTGTTGAGTATAATGGATGGGTTGTAGGAAGATATGAGATGATTAGAAGATAATTAAAATCTAGGCTGAAGTCTAAGGTAGGGGAAGTCCCCTACACTGGGCCTCAGTCTTCATTTTCTAAGCCCCCCCCCCCCCACAACAAATGGGGAGGCCCACCTACCAAGTCATCCATCCATCCTTCAATATAGAAACTTTTTAGCAAAACTATACTGTACTTCAAAATCCCTTACTGTTGAGATGCAAGATTCCACACTGTGAGGCCCTTTGCTCCAGCTGCCACAAGTAGAGAAGGATCTGGGATTGACCAGTCAGCCGATAAGAGAGGGCCAGGGCATCGAACAGACAATGTGGAACATCCGCCGGCTACTGAATATACTCGCAGAACTCCAACCTTTTCAGCTACTAGTAGTAGATCAGGATCTTCTGGGTGGAACCTCACCACCATTCCTGATACAAACAATTAGCCACTTTTATAAATACGGTAACAGTATGCCTTGACTGTCAACTTGCAAGAATTAAATTGGAGCAGATAGAAGGAATTGTATGGGGCATGTATGGGGCACTGAAGAGATACATAAACATCAGATTAGCAAAGCATACCATACACCAACTTCACCCACTCCTTGAGTTTCAAAAAGATTCTTTTTTAATTCTTATTACCATTAGTATTGTTTTTACATTATATTAATCATAATGTCAATAACAATAATTAAAACAATGATATTAGTAGCATTAGCAAAAAAGAAAATCTGAAAACTCATGGAAAGGGGAAATCAGCTGAGGACATTAAGGCTTACTAATTTGCTTCTTAGTGGTTGAACACAAGGAATCATCTATGTGTAAACAAAAGAAAACATCAGTAGACAGGGTGATTACCTGGCACCACTGGATTAAGTTAAATCATATATAACTTCACTGTATTACAAACGCTTCAAAAAAAAAAGTACCTGGTGACGTCAGAAGGAATTTAGCAACCTGTGACTGTAAACTGCTGTCCCATACTCGGGCTGTGAGATCATCACCAACAGAAGCCACAAAGTTACCGCTGTCTCCATTATATGTAACACTGTTTACAAAATCAGTGTGACTTAATATATCCTGAAAAAGAAAATACAGATATGAGAACGAAAGTCTCAGAGGAATCTGTCCAAGAGCAAAGCCCGAGGGAGGGGTAGGGGGAGAAGAGCCTCCAAAGCTTATTGTGTATTACAGCTATGGTGGTCAAGCTCATGCTTTCTTCTTTAT